AGTGGTATTTTTGTAAATGGATACCCCTAAGTGGCATTCTTGCAAATGTGCACACAAAAAGTGGCATTTTTGTAATTGCCCCAAAAATATTTTAGTGATTAACTATGTATTATTTAAGTTGAAAATGCATATTTGATGATATTACTATTTATTCGTTGATAAATTGTGTGAATTCTGAATAATTTTTTTGTTTGTAAAATAGATAAGAATTTGATTGTTATATTGGAATCGAAATTAACTCTACAACTAAGGAACTACATTTTTAAAAATCTTAAATCTTGTGTTGTGTTATTTCTTAAGTCATATCATATTTTTTAAAGTCATTTCACATTTTTCTGAAAGAAAATGTCAACGCGACACATAAGTAAACTAAAAAAAATCACTTTTCAAACAATCTTAAGCTGATTGATGCGCTTTACAAATATGATCAATGGAGATGCAATACTATTAATATGAGTTAACAATAATTGCCCATAAAAGTAATTGTGTGGCTATTGTTTGACTTGTTTAATTTGTTGCTTCCCTAAAACTTAAAACTTATACTTGATTTGTAAGCCTGTAGCATGTAAATAAAAGGGAAATTAGTGTGAAACTAAGGGAACATGAGAAAAGAGACAATAAGTAGCACAAACGTATATATACACATTTGAATTGTGGTAGTCTCTGTTACATATATGAGTCAACAACGAAACATTCTCCTGGAGCACAATGGATTTCCCACCAAAAGTGTTGAAGTAGTCCTAGTGGCTTGAAAAGTCGATCTGTTATTGTGTTATTACCATTACTATTTCCAGATGATATCTTTGATGTTGTACCTTTTAAACATTTTTGTTTCTTAGAACCACTTCTATAATCTATCAAAAAAATCACGGGTAAGTATTGAATAAGGTGATAAGTAAATAAAAAATAGAAAAGAATGAGTGAGAAGAAGGGTAGAGCAAGTAGTGAGAGTGTGAAGAACTATATTTTTTCCTCATATAGAACAATCTTTCAAGGCAATTCTTTGGTACTATATATGATCATTGCTCTAAAATACTGTTCACGTGTCCGC